AAAAAAAAAAAAAAAAAGATTAGTTGGGCATGGCAGTGCTGTCCCAGCTACTCGGGTGGCAGAGGTGGGAGAATCACCTGAGGCCAGGAGTTCCAGACTGCAGTGAGCTATAATCACGCCACTGCACTCCAGACTAGACAACAGAGAGAGACCTAGTCTCTGAAAAAAACACAATAATAAATAAATAAAGCTATTATAAAGACTAAAAAAATCATTTAGCAATCAGATGTGTTTGGGAATAAGAATGGAGCATTTTAATAGAATCCTTTGGTTTTCAAACATTACATTAGGAGGTTCCCTGGTGACTCACCCTTGTGAGAACACCTCTCCATAGTCTACTTGACAGGATGCTGACTAACTTGCAAGGGATCCAGGGAAGACATTAAGAATATTTAATATCCTGCCGGGAGCGGTGGCTCACGCCTGTAATCCCAGCACTTTGGGAGGCTGAGGCGGGTGGATCACCTGAAGTCGTGAGTTTGAGACCAGCCTGACCAACATGGTGAAACCCTGACTCTCCTAAAAATACAAAATTAGCTGGGCCTGGTGGCGCATGCCTGTAATCCCAGGTATTTGGGAGGCTGAGGCAGGAGAATCGCTTAAACCCAGGAGGTGGAGGTTGTGGTAAACCAAGATTGCGCCATTGCACTCTGGCCTGAGCAACAGAGTGAGACTCCGTTTTAAAAAGGAAAAAAAAAAGAATATTTAACAGGCTGGGGGTGTCGGGTAGGAGGAGGGAGAGCATCAGGAAGAATAGCTAATGGATGCTGGGCTTAATACCTAGGTGATGGGTTAATCTGTGCAGCAAACCACATGACACGTTTACCTGTGTAAACCTACACATCCTGCATGTGGACCCTGGAACTTAAAATAAAGGAAAAAAAAAGAGAGAGTATTTAAGAAGCAGAGTGCCTGGGCATTGCTCAATCAGAACAGATGCTGGGCTGGGCTCGGTGGCTCACATCTGTAATCCCAGCACTTTGGGAGGGCGAAGCGGGTGGATCACTTGAGGTCAAGAGTTCGAGACCAGCCTGGCTAACGTGGCAAAACTGTCTCTACTAATAAATACAAAAATTAGCTGGGCGTGGTGGCATGAGCTTGTAATCCCAGCTACTCAGAAAGCTGAGGCAGGAGAACGGATTGAACCTGGGAGGTGGAGGTTGCAGTAAGCCAAGATCACACCACTGCACTCCAGCCTGGGTGGCAGAGCAAGACTCCATCTTAAAAAAAAAAAAAAGGGCCGGGCGCGGTGGCTCAAGCCTGTAATCCCAGCACTTTGGGAGGCCAAGGCGGGTGGATCACGAGGTCAAGAGATCGAGACCATCCTGGTCAACATGGTGAAACCCCGTCTCTAC